CCAACCCCCTGCCCAAGCAGGGTCACCCAGAGCAGGCTGCACAGCACCGCGGGCTGGAATATCTCCAGAGAAGGAGACTCCACAGCCTCCCTGGGCAGCCTGGGCCAGGGCTCCGTCACCCTCAGAGGGAAGAAGTTCTTCCTCATGTTCAGCTGGAGCTTCCTCTGCTTCAGTTTGTGCCCATTGCCCCTTGTCCTGTTGCTGGGCACCACTGGAAAGAGCTTGGCCCCATCCTCCTGACACCCACCCTGCAGATATTTATCAGCATTTATTAGGTCCCCTCTCAGCCTTCTCTTCTCCAGGCTGAACAACCCCAGCTCCCTCAGCCTCTCCTCGTAGGAGAGATGCTCCAGTCCCCTCACCATCCTCGGTCCTGTCGTGGACACAGGAGAGGGAGAGAGGGAGCAAAGCCAACTGAATCAAAGAACGGTTTGAGCGTTTGATGCACGTGCTTTTGTTGCAGAAATGCTTAGCTGCATTTATTTCTTTGCTGGAAGGTTAGGGTTTGCAATCAGATGTATTAGAAACTGGGGAAATCCCAGCTCATGAGACAGCTAAAGATAGGTTAGAAAGTAAGAGCTGAGGAGACAGCAGCAGTTCAGTGGTTTTTTGGCAATCTATCAACAGGAAGGGGATTCACTTGAGTGTTTCCGTCCTTTCTTCTTCTTTTTCTTTTTTTTTTTTTTTTTTTTTCTTTTTAAAGGAGAAGAAATACTCTCTTTTGCATGGGCTGGCAAAACTGCCTTGATTTTCCCCTCCCTCCCCCCTTTCCTTTCCCCCCCCAGACACACTTAGCTTACAGGATTCCTCCCCACACACCTGCTACCACAATCACAAATTATTTTAGGATTAGGCTACCAGAAATTGAGGGCATGTCTCTGCAGAAGGGACTGAAGAAGCTACTTTGTACTTTTGATTGCTCTGTGCTGATGGAGATCTCGGGGCACAGGCCAAACCGGAGAGCTTGATTTCTCTGCGTCTTCTCTTTTTGCAGCCGCAGTTTTCTTTCCAGCTCTTATCAGTGCTTTCAAGCTAAGCACGGCGGGTTTGATTTGCTGCTGCTTCACCATTGGATGCAGAATTGCAGACTCACAGCATGGTCGGGGTTGGAAGGGACCTCTGTGGGTCACCCAGTCCAACCCCCTGCCGAAGCAGGGTCACCTGCAGCCGGCTGCACC